GTGATAGCTGGAATTCCCACATATTTTACAGCCTAAAACCTCTGTGGAAAGCCGTTTAGCGAGTTGCTAGCATGTAAACAAATGGCGGCTCCAGTTAGGGGCAGAAGTCGCGCCCATAAATCACGCCTCATGGGGGCTAGGAATAAGGTGGATAGGTGTGTATTTGAAAGTTTCGACCAATGGCAATGGCATTGTTTCCCTTCATTTATGCAGTCATCCTGGCACAATTCATACTGTGTGTGTATTACATTTTACCATAAATGAAAAGATCATCTCCATCTCATGAAGGTTCCCATAACACTTTGTCAAGTTGTTTTTCTTATCTGTCCAAACAAAAATTCCCTTCTTTCGGCTGCAACTGGCTTTCTACAAATATTCTTTCCGGTCAGAGTGACCTGAATCTCTGCCATAACTTTTTCCTTGCAAAACAGCATTACAAATAACATTTTCCTCTAACAAAGCCTCCCTGGAAAGGTCAATTCAGGGGTCCTGGAGAGGAGGATCTGTCGGATAGACAAACCTCAGATTCAGGAAGAGCAGTGTGGTTTTCATCCTGTTTGTGGAATGATGGACCAACTCTACACCATCAGCCAGGTCCTGGAGGGTGCTTTGGAGTTCACCCAACACATTCTACATGTGTTTTGTGGACTTGGAGAAGGTGTTCGACCATGTCCCTTGAGCAGCCCTGTGGGGGTACTCCGGGAATATGGTGTACCGAATCCTTTGATATGGATGTTAGGTCCCTGGATGACCGGTGTCAGAGTCTGGTCCACATTGCTAGCAGTAAGTTGGGCTATTTTCTAGTGAAAGTTTCACTCTGCCAAGGCTGCCCTTTGTCACAGATTCTGTTCATTACTTTTATGGACAGAATTTCTAGGTGCAGTGTTGAGATCTTTTTTGGTGGCCTTATGATCGAGTCTCTGCTTTTTGTATAAACTACTGACTTCATCAGGTCATGATATACAGCTTTCACTGGAGTGGTTCGCAGCAGAGTGTGAAGCAGCCAGAATGAGGATCAGTGCCTCCAAATCTGAGGCCATGGTCTTGAGCCGGAAAAGGGTAGACTGCCTTCTCCAGGTTGGGGGGATGTCCTGGCCCAAGAGGAGGAGGTTAGGTATTTTGGGATCTTGTTCACGAATAAGGGGAAAAAATGGAGTGGGAAATTCACAAGCGTCTGCAGTGAAGGGGGGGCTGTACTGGTCTGTCGTGGTGAAGAAAGAGCTATGATCATGAGCTTTAGGTCATGACCAAAAGAACAGATTGTGAAGCACTGGGCTACACAATCATGGGAAAAACTGCTGACTTGACGGTTACCCAAAAGATGACCATTGGCACAAGGAGGTCAAGTCACAAAAGGTCATTGTTAAAGAGACTGACTGTTGACAGAGCTCTGTGTCCAAAGATATTGATAGAGAGGTGAAAGGAAGTAAAGTTTATGGTAGGAAAAAAGTGTACAAGCAATAGGGATACCCACATCTTGAGAATTGTGAAATAAAATCCATTTATAAATGTGGGGAATATTCCCAAAGAGTGAACTGCAGCTGGAGTCGGTGCTTCAGAGAACCACCACACACAGACATATGCAAGACATGGATTTCAGCTGTTGCATTCTTTGTGTCAAAGCCACTCCTGAACAAGAGACAGCATCAGAAGTGTCTCATCTGAGCTGAAGAGAAAAATTGCTGCTCAGTGGTCCAAAATTATGTTTTCTGTTGAAAATTAATTTTGCATTTCCTTTAGAAATCAAGGTCCCAAAGTCTGGAGGAAGAAAGTAGAGACACAGAATCCATGTTGCTTGAGGTCCATTCAAAGTTTCCCCAGTCAGTGATGGTTTGGGTGCCATGTCATCTGCTGGTGTTGGTCGACTGTGTTTTCTCAAGGTCAAACAGCCATCTTCCAGGAAGTTTTAGAGCACTTCATGCTTCCTGCTGCTAACCAACTTTATGGAGATGCAGATTTAATTTTCCAACAGGACTTGGCACCCGCACACAGTGCCTAAGCTACCAGTACCTGGTTTAAGGACCTTGGCATCCCTGTTCTTAATTAGCCAGCAAACCTGTTTTCATAGAAAATCTATGTGGTATTGTGAAGAGATAGATGTGATACTCCAGGTTGAAGACCTGAAAGTCACTATCAGAGCAACCTGGGCTCATAACACCTGAGTAGTGCCACAGACTGATGGACTCCATGCCACGCTGCATTGCTGCTGTAATTAAGACAAAAGGAGCCCCAACTAAGTACTGTACATGTTCATGTTTTCATTTGGTCAACATTTCTAAAAAAAATATTTTGTATTGGTCTTAATGTTCTAATTTTCTGAGATATTGAATTTGGGTTTTCATTAGTTGTCAGTAATAATCAATATTAAACAAAAAATACATTTAAAATATCAGTCTGTGTGTAATGAATTTATATAATATAGAAGTTTCACTTTCTTAATGAAATTACTAATTTAAATTAACTTCATATTTTAATTTTATGACCATACTGGGAGCTTGATAAAATTGACTTTGTTTCCTTATTTTCTTGTCCTGTCTTCTGTAAAATGTCTCCTTTGACTGCACTTTTCAAATGTTACTCCTGTTTTTTAGATTCACATGAAGACCATGCCTGCAGCCATGTATCGCCTGCTGACTGCTCAGGAGCAGCCCCTCTACATTTGATAAACCTTTTAAAATTTAAGCCCATGCTTGAAGTCAGCTCCATTGTTTACTACATAAAATGATAGTTCACAAGTGGAGCTTTTTTTCTTGTCTAGTGCAACTTAAAATCAGAATTAAACTGAATTTACTACAAGACTTCTTTTTTGGGTTTATTACATTGGAAAGGATGAGGACACTTTATTGAATGCGAGTCTCCAGCTGAACAAAGTATAAAGTTGTTCTCTTTGTGATTTGCTGTTGCTGTTTGAAAAGTTAACCTCAACTTAAAATTAGAAACATTTTAGTATCTCTTTGCTGTTTATGCAACAAGATGAAATGAAAAATAGTTCTCTTAGTGTGTGGAATAACTATATGAGCCAAGACATGTTATAAGAAACACATATTGCTTTCACTTTGCGTTCTAACCTTGTGTGCTGATGTAATTGGGGGTGGAGGGGAAAGGAAAATGGCAATAAATGAAATTTTTATTGATTCAGCCCATTTCCTATATATTTGAGCCCCTTGCATTATGGATTCATTCCCAGTGTGAAAGCTTTTAATCTCTACTGAAATACTTGTTTTTATTCTAGCTTAATTTTTTGGCATCTGTTAACGGCAAGTGGGAGAACCCCTCTTTCACTGGCTGGGTGTATGAAGCCACTCTAACCCTCCTGTAACCTTGAACTCCAGAAAAACTGAATGAAACAGTGAGTGGGTGTAGAGCAGAACAGCTACACATCATGGAGATGTCTTTGTCAGTAATAATAATAATCAATTTTATTTATAAAGCCCTTTATATCTCCAGTTGAAATCTCAAAGGGCTCATTCACACACTGATGATAGCAAGCTACCAGATTGTAGCTTGCTATCATCAGTGTCGGCCCAGGGCAGGCTGACAAAAGCAAAGCTGCAAATTTTGCACCGTCAGCCCTTCTGACCAACACCAGCAATAATCAGTATAACCAATAATCAGTAACACTCAGCCAGAGCCTTTATGAAGAATGCTATGTTATGCTGACAGTGCATTACAAGTCCACGTTGTTTTCAGCATCGAAAATAATTTAGATAAATTCTTATATTACTACAGGGATTTTGCTGGTTTCTATTTACCTTACACCAAGCTTGAAACTTGTGACAAATGTGAGAAGAAAGTCAATGATGCACTATTATGTGTAATTTTGCTCACAGAAACACTTCCAATGTTTATAATACTTATAAAATAAATTGTATTTTATGAGTCATTCCTCATTCATTTTAGTAACATTTTCTTAATCTTGGTTAGACTGAGTTAAAGTATAACGGGGAGGCTATGAAACAAATTGGGACTGTGGGAACATAACATAAAATAAAGAAATGCACATTTTCAAAATAAAAGCTCAACTATATGGGTTTAAAACAGTAACAGATTGGAAAATATGAATGAACTTTCCTTATTGTTATATTTTCTACAGGAAGGAAATACATGGAAGAGCAGTGAACACAAACTCAAGTACAGTCAGGCATAACAACACATTAGAGCAGAAGGCTTTGGAATATGGAAGCAAATCAACCCCACACCAGGAATGAGAGAATCTGTGGGGCCTTCTGTTTGGACTGTAATGAACTTCAAAAGGGAGGGAGGGACAGACAATACAGGTCTTTTGGTTTCTATAGAAACATCCTGGTCAGCATGCTGCACTCAGTCCATCATTTTCAGATTCGCTGCTTCAGGAATATGGCAAATGACACAAATGGATGTTTTTATTGAAGAGAACAGAAAACTCTTTAGAAAGCAGTTGGTGAAGACTAATTCCATCACGAGTGTACACCCAGCGTTCTCCCGTCCAGTCGTAGCGTTTCGGTCCACTGGGAACACAAAAGGAAAAAGAAGCGGGGAATAAAATTAGAGTCTGAAACCAGATATTTACATACACAAAGGCATATTTTTTTTCACTTGTATAAAGTCAAATCTGGCCAAGCTTCTCTTGTTTTAGTTCAGTTAGAATTATCCAAATTATTTATATTTGCTAAATGCCAGAAAACTTAGCAAGAAAAGATTTTTAGAGATGTTTTGGAACTTTTGAGTAGATATATTTGGTATGAGTTTCAGTTTATAACAAAATCAGAGCGCCACTGGAAACACTAGAGAAGATCAGACATTTTTGTGAGCTGTACTAATGTGTCTTTTGAAAATGCTATAAATTTGAGGTTAAAACTGTCACAGTTTTCCACTCTTGTCATCAGACATCATAGTGCTCTTAGACCTTGAAGTCAGTGGGGACTTCAAGGCCCCCCTTCAAACATCCTTTGGACAGTCTTGTTTCTCCTTTAAGGTTCTCAAACTCAGAAGTCTCTTCCCACTCACCTAAAGCTAAAGATGGACATTTAACGTCTTTTACAGAGTCCAAAGGCAATGAGTTAAATCTGGGCAAAGCTGCTCACATGGGAAAATGGAATGAAGGTCATTTTTAACGCTGGCCAAACTTTCTTCCTTGCAATTTTAACTTCTATAATTTTCCTACTCCTCTTTTTTTCCCTTTCATTCTTTTTTTTTACCCTTCAAATGCCTTCTATGGATAGGTGCTGAAAATTAGCAAGATTATAAGACTTTCAGATTCGCTGCTTCAGGAAGGGAATCTGAAGCTAAACAGAATGCATCTGAAGGATTCTATTTTTTTAGATGAATAGAATGAGAGAGAACTCATCATGGTACACTGCAGTTTCTGTGCTTGGCTGGATGGTGACTTGGTGGTTAGCATCAATGCCTCATGCAAAGGATGTGTTTAAATCACAGCTGGGGCTCTTCTGATAGGAATTTTGCACGTTGTTCTCTGCACACGGAGTTTCACTTCCAAATACAGCACTGTAGGTTTCCTCCCACAGCCACACCCTAACCCTCAAAATAAATTACATATGAAAAAAAAAAAAACTCAAGTGTAAAATCTAAAAAAAAAAAAAAAAAAATCTCAAGAAATAAAACTTCAAACAAAATAATTAAATATAGGTTATATATTATATTCTACAATAATAGACAACATTGTAGTGCTACCTGGTAGGAGAAGAAAGCCATATCTGTCTGTTCGGTGTCTGTTTGTTGATAACGTACGTTCCATGGTTTCCACCCAACTTTACTGTCAACACACCACTCTGTGCACACATTCAGAACACATAGTTACACAGTCATTCATATGTGTTAAACTTAAATTACAATCAAACATTTTTTAGATGAAGTGAACGGCTGCCTATTAAGTTAACTATTTATTACAAGTGTCCATGTTAAAGTCTCCTGGATAAAGAAAAACAGCCTGAACGGTTCTGATTGTACCATCCATCACATTTTAAACAAAAAGGTGATCCAAGGCAGATCCAGCAGGGCTCCAGGATGACAGAACATGGTTGAAATTTGACAAACATCAACTGATTTGGCTTGAATAGGAAATGAACTATGAGAGATGCAGGTGAGGTTTTGTGAGCATCCAGCTGCATCAAGATAATATTTTTCTGTCTCTTGTGAAAGAGAGACATTTGCCACATGACAACAACTCCTTCATAAACATGAAGGAGTCTTCATGAGTGTTTATGGCTGTTGTCATTAAGTGTCAGTTAATAAATAATGACACTTTTAATACTTTGCATTAAAGTGTCATTTACCGAATGACATAACAGTCAATCATTTATGAAGACTCCATGTTCATGACAAGTGTTGTCATGTCTATGACAACATCATGCTAGTGTTATGCTCACCTTTCAAATGAAGTGTTACCAACTAGGTTTATATTTGATGCATAGAACTTGGCACGTTCCTGCCCATTGATCCGAATTACCATGCCTGCTCATGCATCTCTGAATTTTTGTAACATGTAACTTTTTTTAATACAAAAACACGTTTTTGTTTGTTTATTTGTTTTCTGGTAGTAATATTACTGTTGTGGGGTGGACGAAACCAGAGTCTATATTTCAGTCTTACTAATCTGTGAAGGGAATTAACCCCTAAAATACACTGCATCCCACTGTTCTGACTATATGTGCTACCTTGTCAGATCTTCCTACTGTAGCACGGATAGATAGCAATGTCTATGTGTCGGTGATAATCTTGTCTAAAACTGCTAGCGTCATATTTACAAACCAAAAACTATAACAGGTTGTGTTAATGTTAAATATATTGGATAACATTCTTTTAGTTAGGGTTGTATGACAGTCACAATGTGTCCACCGAACTGAGCATTTCACTGTATACCTGAAATGATAGGATATGCTTAATATTACACAGCTTCAACCTCACATAATATCGCTATCAACATGCTCTATATAGGACTATTCCATAAAAAGGAGTGTTATTAAATAAAAAATGTTTAAAGTACATAACATATTTTGTCCCTATTCACATGGTTGATGGGAAGCAATGACTCTGTTTGCAGTATACGGTATAGTAACGACATTGCAGACAGCAAACTAAAGCCATAAATATGGTTACAAGCTGCCTGTCATGTAAACTTAAAACATGAAGTAATACAGCAGCTTAATGAAAGCCAGGGATAAAATAAATTATTTAAAGCTTACCTTAATTTTCGATTAAATAAAAAGGACGAAACATCCACAGGTAGGATGTATTTATAAGAAATCTGCTGAGTAAGCAGTATATGATGCAACATCGATGTGCGCATTACCACAAGGTAGGACGGATTCATGGTGTTGAGGAAAAATAATTATTTTAGTGTTTAATACAGTTAATCTTACGGCATGTGTAAAAGGTATATTTGAGCATGGCCATTTTGAACAAATTTCTTAATTTTGAACAGGTTTGGGTTAATGGTTTAAAACTAAAACTATTGCTGGGTAAGTATTCAACTTACGGGAAGGAAGAATAGAGATCAAAAGGGAACTCTGACTGAGGCTCCTGTTGTGTTATCAGACAGGACAGGAGGCCATAAAATTAGCATCTGCAGGAAGGCAGTATCACTTGGATGAGCCTGGGAGAGAGAAGTTTGCTCGGTTCATGGAAGATCAAAGTCTTCCAAAACTAACATCTGGGACGGTGTAAAACTGAATAGAACATAGAATGTTTAAAACCACTAACATTTAATTTGTAAGACATTTTTCTTAGTTACTAATAGCATGTTTTTTAATGAAAATTGTATTATATGTGACTATATCAGATTCAAATGGAAATGGTGTGAAGGAAAATGTTTTGTTTAGTATTAGAAAATTGCTCAGGTTTATGGTGAAAGGGTTTTAGAAAATGATTGTGTTAACTTTTATACTTAGGATTGAATGTTATATTGGATAGGTTAAAAAAGGAATTTTACTCCATTCTATTCTGTTGATTGTATGAACCACTTTTTGGTTTAAGGCAAGACTCAATCTTTTGAGGTGCTGAGTGCAGAAGAGCAAAATTGGGTTTGTGGAGATAACCTTTCCCTGAACTAAATTACCGAATTTAAGTTTGTTCCTGAGAATCTATGTAAGGA